TTGATTTGTTAAAGCTATAAATTATTAATTAACGTGTGCTGTGTCGAGGAAAAGCGCCTCGAATGGGAAAGGAAACAAATGAAGCAAAAAAGATACAAAACTAACATAAATTTGTATTTTTGCGATACCGTAACCTCCTTTGTAATTGCGGTGCCGCCGTCAATCAGCGGTACCAACATTAATTATACATGCAGCTTTATTTGTAAGCTGGACCCAGATGGAGCGAGGCGGAGCTCCAGATGGACTCAGTAGTCGATCTTTCCGGTAAATTTTCAGTATCAACATTTTTTTTTCGAACCGACCAGGACGCCGTCCACCAACACCAGACCTTACGCTTCCACCAACAGCGGACCTTACGTTTCCACCAACACCGGATCTTGCGTCTTTCACCAACAAACGAGCAGCGCCTCCCATAGCACCTTCGAGTTTATTTGCTGCAGACAAAACAAGTAGTCTCAGCTTCGCCAACAAATCCCAATAATATTTTACTGTCGTCCGAGACTGCTCCTCGGTCATTCACAGCAAAACCGAGGTCACAGCCTCCAGCGCTTTTTTAATATTACTGTTATCGCGTACATGTACCTATTGTTGTCCCTAGTTTACAAAAGCAATTGAGGTTATTTATAATAACAAAAGGAAACTCCAAAATACAAGGTCGGAAAGAAGCTCTGTTTTCACCACACGCTGTTTTATAGCTTACCAATTTTCACTTGCTTTAATTCGTCATCCGAATGAATTTCTTGTGCTGGAGCGGCCATCACACTGCAAAACGTAAGAAACAAAACCGTATAGGCATGCAAGCATGTTGCTCACACTTCAACTGTATGGATCATATCTCTGTGACATTAGAAATATTCTTCTGTTACTCTTAAATTTACGGATAGCAGAGAACGAAATGCTCATTGGCTCCCTCAGGAATGCTTACAAAAGTGTATTATAGAAACAGGCATCATTACCCCACTCCCCCTCCCGCAAAAAACGATGTTGGTGTAACGCTTATCCGAAGTGCGTCGGCGGTGCTGGATCTGTTTCGCTCCTGCATTCAACGACGATTTCTCAAACGATGTCATATATTTTGGGTAGGTTTTGCGTCTATTTTATCACCTCAGGGTTGAAGAATGAGAATGCCATAGCAAGCTGGAACACCGACTTCTTGCTTTCAAACGTAGAAGAGAGCCATCAAAAAAAAAAAAAAAAGCTTGACAACTTTCATCCTTCTGGCTAGTGCTGAATGGTAAATCAAACTTACAGATGAACCCAGTCGATGTAATACTTCGGATCCCTCAATCCACTAGTTTTTGCATGCACAGCGTTGTCACTAAACGCAAATATGGTGCGCTGTTCACTAGCAGAAGTGACGTAGTCTTCGCAAAGTTCGCCAAGCTCGTGACATGCCAAGGCGCCAAACGCTGCATCTGGATAACGGGGAACCAGCGTCTTGGAGGCTTCGGCCCAAAGATAAAAAACATATTGGCTTACAGTACTTTCTGAAATGCATCAATTGACACACTTTCTCCACGAAGCAACGAACTTTCCGGACAGTCATACGTTTTTTTTCTTCAATTCTCTTTTGCTTTTCTGGGATGAATATTTTTGTCTCTTCCCTCACTCTTTTCTTCTGACGCATACGGCAGTTTTTGAAAGAAAATTATGTAGTCAGAAAACAATAAAACATACCGTTATTCCAAAAATAGACAAATGTTATTTTGTTTTCTTTTATAGCACTGTGTAGCGTGTCAGCATTGAGACTTTGCAGCTGATGCCAATCCTGTGTGTTCTTGAAAGAGTAATTTTCCAAAAGAATTGGTTCAACTAAATCCAGCTCGAAAGGAGAACGTGAGATCACTGTTTTATAGGATTTTACTGTTTCTGGCTTACGTCGCTTCTCAGCCAATTCCTGCAAACAACCAATTTATTTTATGTGCTAGCGCTAGTTCTGTGTCATAGTCTGGTTCAGTCTAATAAAAGATGTATTTTCTGCAAAACAGTGGGTTTAATATGAAAAACAATACCTACCGGTGGAATTGCGAAGATCTGTATTATTGTGGAAATTAGTCACGAGTTCAGAGTAACTGAACATTTTGAAAAGAACGAGAAAGTGGGCTCGTCCCCAAAGGACAAATAAAAATCCCGAAGTGTCTTTTACCATCGCTCTTCCTCCTTCCCCCCTCCCCGTTTGACTTCTCATGTATTAGTGTTATCTTTGTGACCGCTAAAACCTTCCCACGCACCAGAATTATAGGCATATTATGTCTAGTGATTTTGTTCGTTTAGTTAGTGTTCCCTCAATCCGTCTCTTGTTGATGCTGTTACCGTCTGCACTGTGTGCGTGCTACCGCAATTAGCGTACCTCATCAGCAAATCGTATTATATCTGTTATTTTATTAGTGTTATTTTACTGATAAAATTTCTGCCAATCGTCGTCGGTCTCTGCAGCAGTATTTTTGGGAACACGAACATTCGATGGCACGCAGACGTTTCGAGCAAATTTGCGATGTTCGTTGAGTTGATAATCTGTTCCTTTCCTGGTGATAACTATCGAATTTTGCGCGCGAAAATCTTGTATGTAAGTGTGCGTAATAGTATCAGTTGTTCTGTTCTTTTTATGCGTTTTTTGCAGCTAGCAATGCGGAAAGCGTATACTGACGAGAGGTTGTCTGTGTGTGCGCAAGGCTTTTGTACCAGTTTTTCATCCTGAGACCTACGAAAGCTGCAGAGCTAAAACTTTGGGGGCTTAATCTACATGCACATACGGGCCCCCATCCCCAAAATCGGCGGTCTTACCCGCATGGTACCCACGTAAGAGCCAGCCAAAGTTTTTTACGGGTAAGCGGCTAACTCGGGAACCAGAAATGCTGAAGACTGAAATTTTAAGGGGATGTTCCTCGTCCAAGTAAGTCTCATTGAGCTCAAACCCAGCCCCGGGCAAGCGTGGTATCCACGTACGAGCCCGCCAAAATTTTTTACGGGTAAGCTGCTAACCCGGGAACCAGAAATGCTGGGAGGCTGAAATTTTAAGGGGACGTTCCCCGTTCAAGGAGGTATTAATGAACTCAAACCCATTCCCCGAGTAAGCGTGGTACCTACGTACAGGCCTGCCAAAGTTTTTTATCAACTTATCAACTTATACCTGAAAAGCTAGAGGATTGTAATTTAAAAGGATATTCCCCGTCCACCTAAGTCTCATTCAGCGTAAACCCAACCCTTAAGTATACGTGGTATCCACGCACGGCCTCGCCAAAGTTTTCCTCGGGTAAGTTGCTAACTCGAGAACCTGAAAAGCTAGAAGACTGTAGTTTTAAGAGAGTGCTCCTGTCCGCGTAATTCGAGCTCAAACCCAGACATCGGGTATGTGGTACCCACGTACGGCCCGTGAAAGTTTTTTCCAGTATGTTGC